GCAGCCGACCTATTTTACATGGAAGTGACACCTGCAGAAAACGGGGGTGAATCTAAAGGGGAGCATGTGGTGTACTAGACCACATTTATTTCAAGGCTTTCGCAACATTTTCAGATTAAAAGTGAAATAATATAAAATATCATATTAATTAAAGTGCATTAATATTTAAAAATATAAAAATAAATGGGGTTTTTTTTCACAAGCCAATAAAAATGTACATGGGCCAGTAAAACTTTGATCTTCTGACCTGAGAGTTGTTAGGTTATTATTAATTAACATTTACACCATCATAACATCTTGTTTTCAGCAGCACAAAAACTCTCCTTCAAAGTCCAGGGCAAACTTCAGAATGCTGATATGCTCACTTCTCTTCATTGCAGCCACGACATCCTCCTTTAAAGGCTTATAAAATAACTAACTCATTCACTCGCACACTTGAACAATGTATGCACACATATGCACATTCCTTTTGGAAACCACCAATATGGCTTGGGTTTTGTTTTTGTTTTGTTTTTGACAGACATATGCAGTTAAACTTTAAAACAGGCCACTCACACACCGACTCTATTCAGACCAAGTATTTTCTTTCCACTACTTCTCCAATGTGCACCCACAATTTTGTTGTACATGTACAATGACAATAAATGGAAGTTCTATTCTATTCTAATTTCTAAAATGGAAACCAATGAGCAGTTCGTTTTGAAAGACGTATGTCCTTTTACTAATATGACAAAAGTATTTCGTATCCAATTAATCGGTGGAATAATCAATAGATTACATGATTACTAAAATAACTGATATAGACAACATTATGATACAGTTGTATTATAATGTTATGCTATATGATGAAAATTATGATCACCTACCAGCTGAGACAATTAATCTGTTGTTCACTACACAGTTATATCCAGTGATACTGTGTGATGCACCTAAAAAGGAGAAGGAGTGCAGGTGCAGTGCAGATGTGCTGCCAATTTCCGTTTCTATCATTCTTTCTAATCACGTGTACCACGTTTTGCCACTTTGCATCTTGCAAGGTCTAACATAAAAGTGCATTACTCAGGAGGTATACACAATAAAAGCAGCAGACACAATACATCACACTGAGCTACTAACACACGACACCACGATGCTAAAATGAACACAGCCATGAAATAATTGATGAATTCATCCATGCAGAGTGACATGAGAGCCTACTGTGCCTTGCACTATGTGTGAAATCCTGTTGCTCATGGATGTCAGTATTAGAGACACAACAGTACAAACATTTCATATCAGAATTATTAGTATTAACCAAGTGCTTCTAAAAAGTGATGAAAATGCTAAAATCTACTGATACACATACCAAGACAGTTTCGCCAAGCTACATCCTGTCCCCTAAACATCTACCAAGGCAGCTCCCTCTTATAAATCAGAGTATTTCAAGTAGAATGTGCGTGAAGGACACTCTCTCCTTTTGGGTGACAGAGGCGAAAGAACAACTGCAAATAATATCCAGTGTGAAAGCAGTTATACTTATACTGTTTTATTTGTTTACTCTTGTCTACAGAACACAACAACAAAGCTGTCAGCTTCTGGACTTTAATAAAATATGTTGGCTGGGTTACTACATAGCACGGTATCATGGGAAATGAACAAATACAGTCTCCAGACAAAAACCCACCAAGATAAAAGTCACATTAAGATAAAAGGGTACTTACCTTGCGTTCCCTATAAAGTGATAACAAGCAATTTCACAGTGTCTCCATCGTCTTTCAAGGTTCCCGCTATCTCTTAAAAATCTAACTATGACCACAACCCAGAAAAAAACAAAATCGATCCTGAAATTCTTTGCTCTTTCCTCTGTTTCCCTAAAAGTAACCCTTGTTCAATCGTGTCAGTCTGATAGCAGAGAATTCAAGGCACACAATTTTAAATACTAACAACAACATTTCCCACTACAACACGGATTCAACGCAGTACTATAAAATGTGTTTAAAGTATAAAAGTCTCTGAAGCACTGTCACTACCTTAAGCCTTTTAAGTAAACACATCCTGCCTGCTCTGCTCTACTTTTGCTAACCTTGATTGACAGTATTTACAGAAAGTTTTCTATGGGCGGTAATCAGCAACAGACTTACTGTGAAACAGTAATACTAACCAGTGGGAATTTTATCACAGTAACCATTATATGTTTCACTCTTTGTCAGTATACTGTTGAGCTCTGCACCAAAGTCACCACAATAAATCCCTCCTCTGCTGTTGGAGTTGGCGATTAAAGAGACAGAGTCCTGTGGGGGGGTGGGGGCAACTAAACGATGTCATTGTGTTGAGGTCAGCAGGGCCTTGGACAAGCTTCAAATGTGCAATGAGATGGTCAGTGTAAAGACAGAGAAGCCATTACTTCCCTGCTGAGCACATAAGCCAGGCACAAAGCTTAATATGAGACAGTAACACAGCTCAGCTTCTCGCAGATTTAGGGATTGAGCAGACATCGTCCCCCCCCCTTCCTTCTTGTAACCCATTGCTAAATAGAAGAAAGCTGACATGTATCCAGGCCGGTGGGCTTGTATTGTCACCTTTACTGCTTGTCAAGCTGCACCTCAATCAGGACTACTCTGATCTACCCATCAGTCATTCAGGGTGACGGGGATGAAGCTATTGACAAAGAGACAATAGGAATGGACAGAACTAAGTGTGGTCAAAGGTTTCCGTCTGTAAGGTGTGGGCCACCTTACTACATAAGTCTGATTTTTCAAATAAAGAGCTGTGTGACCTCTCATCTCAAAGCACAATCTCAGCTTTTTCCAAAATATGGCATTTTCTAACATTTAAGGTAAAGAGTTTTCAGATGAAAACAAGAAAATGTACTTCCAGGGACCCTCAGTGCACTATGCTGGACATTCAAGCTTATGGGCAGCAGGTTAGCCCTGACAGACACAGCATATGGATTCCTAACATGCTGCAGTCTGGCTCACCAGATTCCTCTGGGGATAACGAATGCCAAGCCTGTGCACCCCCACTTCATGCTTTGTAAAAGAATTTATTTAATAGAAAACCAGAAGCTTCATCCTGCTTTCATCAGCACTATGTGCTCATGATAACTAGCACGAGTCAAGACAGGTGGGGGAAAAAAAAAACAACTTTCTGACAACAAAGGAAGAAAAATCTACTCTTTCAAGTTATTGTTAGTTTTTGGCTTTAATTCCAGTTTTGGGGTAAACTCTTAAACCATTGTGCAAAATTTAGAGGCAAAAACAGGTGTCTATTTTATATTACAATCCAAAAAGAGCAAGGCAACTATCTCTCCCATCAAACAGCTGTTTTGCTTTCATCCAGATTATAATGCAAAAAGCCAATCGCTGGTCAAACCTGCTGAGGCAATCAGTTATCAAAATAGGCGACAAGATCTGGACTGATGATATTTGAGATTTCAAGCTACTACAACATGCTAATGTATTAGATAACAAGAACTGGCACAGAGATAATACACTAATCATAAGATTTGTTCCCTGAAAACAACCCTGGAGTAAGATCAGAACTGATTAGGTGTACTACAAACCATTAGAGTTAGACAGTCTTCTCCTAAACTACACAGTAATATTATGTAAAGTACAAATACTCTATAACCATGCTTTTGGGTACTCAAGTCTTGGCTTGTAAAGGTATGTACGTTTCAACATTGCAAACAGGCAATTATATTTAAGTTCTGTGCACGGAACCTGCACACAATGCCAAAGCTGCAGGGACAAGACGAGTCATAATGCCAATTTTATAAACTACCAATAGGACTGAAATATGAATATTGCAGCTGTGGCTAGTGCAGTTCATGTCCTTTAACCTGTGAATGTATCCTTGAGCTGGACACTAAATCATCCCTATGTAATTTTAGTTTAACCTGACCTTGCACCTTCCGGTGGAGCCATGCCAAGTGAAAAACAATTTCCCCGTGGGATAAAGAGTATCACATAACTAAGTGTTTTTTTGGGGTTTTTTTTTAACAGTTATCGTTATTTTATTGGTCCTGCCCTAAAACCAAGACAAATGCTGAAGTGAGTAAGGATGTTAGCAAGCTTATATTAAAACATGAGAGATACGAATTAGATTTTCCTCAGGAAAGGGGCTGGACCTCAGCTCGATCCCTGTGTTCTAGTGCAAGGCGGACGAGGCTAAGATTACTGGACCCATTATCGGACAGAACCAGTCTTTTGTCGCCCTTAATTCCCAGCAACACGCTGAACAACACTAAAAGGTCAGACCGCAGTATTTGTGCACAGGGTTGTAATTTCAACGACACGTTAACTGAACCTCTACCTTTAGATCCACCACAAGTAAAAAAAAACAAAAAACAAAAAAACCCTGGAAAATCTGCCTGTATAACAATGCTGTACTTTTTTTTGTTTTGCTGGACCCATGTTTTTATTTTTGGGCTTCCACGCGGTATTGCACCACAGCGTTTTCACAGACAAAGACTGTCAAAGGAGATGGTCAAGTACCCAAGACGCGACCAAGGTGTCCGACTATGGAATCAGATGAAAGAAAAAGGTAGTGACTCGGGAGATTTTCAGCACAGGCGCGTAAATCTGGGTGACACAAGCATACAAGGCAAAGATCATTTTAACAGATGCTTTATTTATCCGTCTTCTGCTGTACTGTCAAGCTTACTGACTGCATTGGTGGGGGAGTAAGGAGTTGTAAGTAAAATCAGTTCAAGCCTAGCATAACACTGAATTGCGTCCGATAATGGATCTCGTGACGCTACGTTGCTCGTTAACTAGCAGCTCAAGCTAACACTCCCATTCGGGTTTGCGCTTCACAGCAGCACCTATTTAGAGCAAACGGCACTTTCATTCTGTTAGTGAATGTAAGATAAAACCTGACTCTAAAACGTAACAGAAAGCCCAGTAATAACACTCCTGTGTGGTGTAGCTCCTGAGCCACCCCTGTGCTAAAACCCTGTGTTGCAGCGGCAGCAGCAACAAACCCAAGACAAAACAGTCAATGCGCTGTGGGCAACTCACCCAAAAGATACCACTGTACTGTCGACCATATGCTGCTGCAGTTCAGCGATGAACACCCATTAGAATGATTCCTGCGGTTGGGGAGCATCCAGGTGTTGCGGTGTTAAGATTACACTATTCCAAACCCTGCTTCGCTTTGACGGCTGTTGTCTGTGCTGAGACCGCATATGTGTGTATGCTTATGTGTTTGTGTGTGCGTGTGTGTGTGTGTGTGTATGGAGCTTTGTGAGGCCTGCTGCTGGAAGGAAATGGTCTCCACTCCGTCAGTGCAAAGCGCATGCGCTTGGGAATGGGAATAGCACGGCCAACGGGCGAGCGGTCTGTGAGCACAGCCGTGTGGCCAACAGGTGAGATTGTCAACCGATGGCTGACTTGTTACAGCGGAAGGTTACCCGCTAAATGGCCACCTGCTGCCCTTTCCAACGGGATAAAGCCGCGGTGCAGTAATACAGGATACAGGATAGATATACGCTGTCATTTACTAGTAATAGACTGCAATTAAAACAGATTATTAAGAATTTCAAAGTCTTATTTGGTTTTCATAGACATATAATTCTTTTCTTTCTCTCTTTTTTGCAATATTTTCCAAGTAACCTATATTTGACAACAGCATGATAAAAATGGAAATTCTGTTTTGTGGTGCCACCGCATTATTTTTAGTGGCCCCCATATGGCGACCCCTATGAAACTATTCTGGAGGCGCCCCTGACTGTTAGGGCTGCGTGGTGATTTAGTGCAACATGTTCGAAGAATAAAGTGGACTACAGCACGTGTGACCTTTGATAGCAGTGCTCCAATGTGTTTGTTTATTTTTATAATTCCATAAGGTACTGTTATTCAGACCGAAGGCATGAATAATGTTTATTCAGTATACCTATCTACTTTAACGCAGGGGTGTCAAACATAATGCCCAGGGGCTAGAATTGGCCCTCCAAAGACTCTAATTCAGCTCATTGGACAGCTTTTAACTAAAGTTAAGTTCAGGGTGGGCCATTTATATGGATGCACCGTAATAAAATGGAAATGGTTGGTGATATTAAAGTCCTGCTTGTGGCACATTAGTATATGTGAGGGGGCAAACTCCTCAAGATGGGTGGACTTTTGTTTTTTCAATAGGAAGAGGACCATGTGACACATCAAACTTATTGGTAATGTCACAAGAAAAACAATGGTGGGTGGCCCACCCTGTATATTTAAGTATAACTTTTAAGTTTCATAGGTTTTACGTTTTATAGCTTTTCTGACTCTTTTCTACCATTTATACTATACTAAAGTAAATAAGTAACAAAAAATAACTTTTTGGTATTAAAATTAGCAAAACATTGCTTTTTATAATTACACTGAAATCTGGGAAGTCATCTGTTAGGGGCTTTATAACAAAGTGGAAGCAACTGGGAATGATAGCAAGTCAGCCATGAAGTGGTAGGCCACATAAAATTAAAGAGAAGGGTAAGCAGATGCTGATGCAGGTGGTGGGCAAAGATTGCCAACTTTCTGTGGAGAGCTTCATGGAATGAGTTTCCATTTCTGAGCAGCTGCATCCAAGCTTTACATCACCATGTGTAATGCAAAGTGTCTGATGCAGTGGTGTAAAGTGCGGCACCTTTAGAGCAGTGCCGACGTGACCTTGGAGTGACAAATCATAGTTCTCCATCTGGCATTCCGATTGACCGGGTGGGGGGGTGTTATGGTCTGGGGGTGGCCCCTTCCTGTGCACAAAGAAACGTTCATAAAAACATGGATGAGTGAGTTTGGTGTGGAAGACTTGACTGGCCTGCACAGAGTCCTGACCTCAACCAGACAGAACGCCTTTGAGAAGACTTAGTGTGGAGACTAGAGATGGCACGATACCACTTTTTTTATGTCCGTTACCGATATCATAAATTTGGATGTCGTCCAATACCGATATGAATCCGATATAGTGTGTTTTTTAATAAATAAAACTGTTTTTTTAAAATATCCTGCTGCATTTTGTATAAGTTCAAACTCAAGTTAAAAAACAACAACACTAAAGCTATTCTGTTATACCTGTATACAAAAAATACACTGAACCCGAAATATTTCATAGTTCAGCAATACTAATCAATCTAATAAACTTGAACCTACTCCATCCTCCCTATTCTGGTATTTTAAAGAGTAAGCAACCTAACTAATAGGGTTGCAAACTCCCAGCAAAAATTAAATAGATTCAACATCTTTCTTCAACAGAACTGCAGACTGCACAGATTGTACCTTCCCAAAGGAAAAAGTACTTACTAGGGTATATTAGACTTAACAGTTACTATATACAGTAATGGATTTTACATCAGATTAAAACTTTGGGTGTAAGATTCAGATAATTAATTATTAAAAACTAGATATTTTAAATGAGAATAAGAAAGAAAAGTATGTCTTTGTGCCCCCCCATTTTCCCTGTTCATGCCCTATCGGCCCCCCCTGGCTAAACTTTGCTAGATCTGCCCCTGCACAGTTAGCAGCCATCAGATAGAAAGGGATCCTGGTGTACAAAGTAATATTAAATAAATTCTAACAACAGCTTCTCAAGCTTAAACGTGCTGCTGTTGTTCAGCCGCTGGTTTCCTCTTTCTGGCGCAAAGTGGGCGATAAACAAACAAGCGAGACAGACTACAGAAAAGCCGATCAGCTGATCATTAATCAGTTTCACATTGAAGTAGCAGCAGGAGAGGGAGGGTGAGAGAAGAGGTAGTCGCTCCATATATCGGTTGTTAAGGTAAACGCTGGAATGCTTCACAAACATTCAGAGATGAACTTACACACTTGCTTTACTTCTCTCTGGGATCACTTTCTCGGCGATGAAATGCTCAACCAGACCACCTACAGGTTGCATGCCACAGCCGCTCTATCACGTGATGCATACTGCTCCAACGTGCTAAGGTTATGAGCCGAGTTATGCCATGTTGCAAGTTTTGTGAGGTGCTTTTTTGATATTTAATGGATCGATTACATTTTTTTATTTCTCTCCGATATCTGATCCAGTAATTTAGGTCAGTATCGGACCGATACCGATACCTAATATCAGATCGGTCCATCTCTAGTGGAGACTGCACTGTACTTTGAGAAACTGTTTAAAATGGTTAACCTTTTTAAAACAAATTTTAAACATTTGGATTATTACCTTTTACAATGGTAATAAAGTTACCAAGAATCTTTGTGAAGAACCATCTGCAATTACTATGTCTAAAACACCAGCACATTAAGTGATGTTGAACTTGTTTCAGCTTAATGGTGTAATGTCACACTGTATACACTGAGTGGATGTAAGTTTTTAAAGTACCTTAGCAAATCATTCATAACTATTCATATTCTGTAATTATTCTTACAGCAGTAACCTTTAGGAAATGAGGGTTAGAAATACCCTAAGTTCAAAGAACAGAACACTTCTGAAAAGATTAACAAATAATGCTGCCTCCTGGTGGTGATAGTTTGAGTTCGCAGTTTAGAATTTTAAAACATACCTTTCCATGCTTTGCTGGTGGTCCATCAAGCATAATTTACGAAAGAAAATGTCCTACAATAAAGAGTCATTTGTTCAAACATCACTGGGTTTTGTAGTAAGAATTAAAAGGCAGACAGGCATTGAATTCAACATTTTTATTTTACAAATCTTCTCCTTTTCCCCCCTTTTACACCAATGAACCTCAAAATGAGACTTCTCCACAATCAAAAATCCAAGGCATATTTTAAAACGTGAACTGATGAGTCATGATCACATTTTAGTCTCCGCTACAATGAAAACAATGAACGGTGAGAATACACAAGAGGCTGTAGTCACTGTGACCTTTGTAATCCTGAGTGGTCACTTTGATATTGTGAATATTTATTTTTCTGCAATTCACTCACTCTAAACAAATTCCCTGATTCCTTCTTATCGTTTTTGGCAAAATACCTATTGCCATGTTCTAACAAAACATGACAAATCAGCAAATGCACAAAAAGAAATGTGTATGGACACCGAAGATGAAGTACAAAAAACAAGGAACAGTTATTTACAAATGTAACAAGTTAACTGAGTACATAAAGTGTAAAACTGCAAAGCCTTCATATTTATACCCTTACATTTCAACTATATTTGTTTGATGCAAAAAAACGTTCATAAAACTGGTCTTATGAGCTTTTGAAAAACTGTTATTGCTCCATTTCAAAAGTGCACAGCTTCAGTTTTGAAAATAAAATACAGACTTTTTTGTTCAGGTACAGTTAATATTTTGCTGAAATGTTAGCTTTAACAGAAATTTTTCATGATGACCAAGAGCAAGTCAGTTAGAGAGGTAATTTAACTGCAAGTGCCAAAAAGGAAAAAGTTATGCAAATAGTAATAACAACAACAACAACAACAACGCCACAATAAATAGCAGTAATACTTGGAAAATCAAAGTGGTAGAAAACTACTATGAACTAAAGACACCAACTAGTGTAGAAAGAGTGCTACCACAATATCAACGAAAATATGAACTTCTGTTTTTCCACCTTTTTAAGAAGTTATTCCTGAGATGTGTTCAAAAAAAAATAAAAATAAAAATATAGATTCTGTATAATATCACATTTTCAATCGAACATGCTACACAATTTATATGACAAAGAGCACCCTTTTCAGTAAAAAAACAAAAAACAATACAACATATGGAAATACAATGGGCACAGACCTAAACTGTGGAAGATGAATGGCAGTTTTGACTGGCAGTCAGCTTTAGGTTGAGCGCCACTCCAGGTCCGGGAGTCATGATCTGACTCCACATGTAATTTAAAGAAGGAAATAGGAACTGTGTATTTGCTACTTTGACTGGTCACAAGGTCAGAGGTCAAAGACACTCACAGTGGTCAGCATTTTGTAAACATATTCACATCACCACAGAGCCCTTATCAGAACGCACAAAGAACAGGAAACCTCTCCCCTTCCAAAACAAGGTGTCACACACAGCGTAACACACAGTTTATTCTTTCCAATGATGCTTCCAAAAGTATCAATAAGTTTCATACACATTGCAACACAGTTTTGCTTGGGGCATGTTGTTGCTTGTCTGCACACTCAAATGACCCATTCACTCCAAGCACCAATAAGTATAGACTCTGTTATACTGAGTGCAGAGGGATGACGAATTTGCATCCAAAAGGTGAGTGGTAGTTGATTCCAACTTCTTGGTAAACCATCTTAGGGAGGCCAATATCACAGAGGTAGACTCTGCTGTCTTTGTCTGCTAAAGGCAGTGGAAGTCCTAAAGAGAGGGTCCACTTTGCGTCCACACTCTGAGGCTGCTCACTGACTGGGGGATCAATACTTAGGACTGGAGCACGGTTCTTGTTGGCCCAGTCAGCAACAGATTGGTACCAGGAC